GCTGGGATACTATATTTAAGTTGTTACTTATCCCACATTGTTCTGTCCCCATTTTGTCTGTATGAAGTACTCTCCCCCTGCACTCATCTAACTTCCAAGTCTCAAGTCTTGCAATTTGTACCTGATGAATGAATCCTTATGTCCATATAGAGTCTCATATAAATCAAGCAAACTCTACTTGGACACAGCCCACAGAGAACTCATTGAAGGATTGGGGTCCTAAAGAGCAGATATTTTATAATTTACATGAAAGAGATCTCTAACTTATCTCTGTCCTGTAATGTAAGTAAAAACGAAACTAAAGTTATGTGCCACATAGGTGATGGCAGAATAGAGTTCTTAACATGTGAAATCTTTGACATTCCCACAGTATTTATTCCTAAGTAAATTTGCCATTCATAATTCTGAGTCCCCCCTTTCTCCTAAACGACTAAATACTGAATCATCAGGGCCGACGCAATCCATTAGGTGACCTAGGCGGTCCCCTTAGGGCACTACAATTTGGGGGGCGGTGACCGCAGCGGTATTTCGGCGACGGGACCTTCCGCCGCCTCTGTGGGGGGCAGCATTTCTGGGCGGGAAGAAAAGCTGGCGGCATTCCTGTGAATCATTAATGTACAGTAACTCCCCACTTAACATCCTCTCGCTTAACGTTGTTTCGATCTTACGTCTCTGCTTAATTACAGAACATGCTCCATTAAAAGTTGTGCAATACTTCGCTATAACACCATTTGGCTGCCTGCTTTGTCCACAGCTGGCAGCTCCCCATCAGCTCCCCTACGCCCCCCACCCCCCGTGCCTCCTGCCCGCCGGCAGACCCCGCGGATTAGCGCCTTCCCCATCCTCCCCCTGCCTCTTGCCCATGGCAATCAGCTGACTTGCGGCATTCAGGAGGGAGGGGGGGAGGAGTGAGGACTCGGCAAGCTGGCTCCCCCTCCCTCACCTGCCTCCCGAATGCCGCAAACCAGCTGATTGCTGCGGGCAGGAGGCAGGGGAGGGAGCGGGGAGGA